ATTTCGCAGTATCTTTCCCCTGCCACGCGCACCAAGCCACGCCCACAGAACCGGTAGTAAAAAAATGAATTTCACCACTGAGCAGTGGCACCCCCTCTCCCTCCCGCCCTCCCTCTCCCAGCCCCCCCGCCCCTTGCAGGAAGGACTGCGCAGGATACCTTCAGGTCTCTCCTCTCCAACAGCATCAGCTCAGAGCCCTGGATGTCGTGGCGCATAAAAAGCTCTTTGTATTCCCCTAAATCCAGCGCCTCGAGCCAGGCGGCCACCTCCTCCGGGCCCCAACTGTCCACTGGGCAAAAGGAAAAGTACAGGATGGTTGGTTGGGGAAGGGAGAGAGGGAGGGAGGACCAGAACAGGTAGGTGTGTGTGTGAGAGGGTGTGTGAAGGCAGAGGCATGCAGAGAGCAACATAGGTGGAAGGAAGCTCAGGTAACAAAGGAGAAACAGCAGGAAGCTGGGTGGGCGTGGAGGAGCAGTGTGACAAAAGGACAGCCAGGTGGGCCTCCGTGCACCCAGCATGCTGAGCCTTCTAGCCAGGCTGCCTTGAACCTGGGTGTGGTGCAGGCTCAGCCCCTGGGATTCGTTCATAGGTCGATGGCACCTGCAGTATCTACGCCTACCCTGGGCAGGGAGTCCAGCCCTTCTGGCCTTGGGCACCTGTGCCCCCTCCAGACGGGCTCTGCCTCGCCCTGGAGAAACAGCATCGGGGCCACCAACCGCTTCCCATCCACCCCACCGGCTACGGGGATGCTGCACCATTGTGTTGGGGGGGACGGATGACTAGCTGGCCCCTCCCTGGGGCTCCTTTATCCAGATGCTGAGATGCCCCCTCCTGACCTTCTGGGGGGTCTGGGAGGGTCGCCAGATTACCTGGGGTGACCCCGCCTGATCTCTGCTTTTGGAGCTTCTCCTTCTTGGGCTTTGCGAGATTAATCCGTAGCTTCAGGCTGCCCTTGTTGCTGCTCCCAGGAGCCTCCTGGCCCATCACCTGCCAGGAGGAGAAAGTGCTGCTAGCAGAACCGGAGAGCACCCCCCCCACCCCCACCCCCGTTCGCTGCCTCCCTTGCCAGGGCTTTGCCAGGGCATGGCAGCCATCAGAAGGGAGGCAACGACAGATGTGACACAGCCGCCTTCCCTGCTGGCTGGCTTGGACACCCAGCCCCTCTGCCACCCAGCCTCCCCACTGTGAAGCTTGCAACAGGCTGGCCAACAGCCAGCCCGGGGACTCCAGATGCCTCCTTCCAAGGCAGCTGGTCAGTGGCTGCATGGAAAAGCAGCCGCAGGCCGAACGACTGGCTACTGCTCTCTGGGAAGCTGCCCTTCCCCGTCCATGTGCCCACCTCCTCAACTGAGCTCATGATGGGGGTCATCCAGTGGACATCGGAGAACCTCTGCAACTCCTGGCCGACGGTGTCCAGGGCCTGGTGGAGGGCGTCCTCTTGCTGGGGAGAATCCAGCTGCTGTGAGAGAGGTGGCTGAGAAGGGCTGCCTTGGCCCCAAGAGAGGGCAAGGGATGTGTGGGGCATGCGGGCACCCCCGGGGGGCTTCTGTCCCGCACTCACCTGCTTTCCGTCCAGGAAAGCCTGGGTTTCGGTGCACAAGGCCTTCACGCTAACAGACACCTCCACAGCCGTGCTCCGGCTGATCAGCTGCAACTCCCCCTGCAGGAAAGAAAGGAGTAAGCAGGGGCTGGCAAGGAAAGGCAGCTGGCAGCCGGGGCTCAGGGGAGAGTCCTCCAAGGAGCGTCCCCAGCCCACAAGTGGCTCCTTCCTTGCCCCACATGGGACAGCCCTCCACTCTCACCTCCGGAGCCCCACTGGTGCTCTTGCAGGCCAGGACCTCGCTCAGGGCCAAGGAGCTGCTGTTCACGGCGTGTGCCAACTCCTGCTCCATGCCTTTACGGGACTTGGCGGCCTCTCGTATTCTGCAAAGGGTGGGGCAAAGCCAATGGCAAGGTGATGCCACACACACACACATTCTTTGTGAACTGGTCACTGTTGAATGCAGGAGAAGGCAAATTCTGGGAGTCAGAAACACACACATCGCGCCCATTTGCCAAGAATGAAAACATAGATGTAGAGCAGCTAGGAGCTATGCAGTTATACTCCCTCCTCCTGTTCCCCCAATTCTTCTAAGGCCTCATGAGGGAGGCTGGATGAAAAGAGCACTTGGCCCCACAGAAGCTCCCCAATGCCTTCCTGTCACCCATGGTGGGGAACAGGGACAGCATCAGTCATGAAGGCATTGTTCTGAGCGAGGCTTCCCGAGAGCCTGAAGCCAACTCCTGGTCCTGACAAAAAACCCTTTTATTAATTGACTGTGAGTTCTGCTCATTCACATCCAGCAAAGTCTTTCAAGGGAGGATTTACAGTCACAGACCTTATCTGG